TTAAATATGGGTAAATTAGGAAAGATCTTGACAAAAATTAATTTTTCAATTACATTAAAGAAGCTTTCTTAATCAGTGTAAAAAACGAAACAAGCCTATATAATTGGGACGAAAAGACTATAACTTATATCAATGACAAATGTTTTAGCGTCAAGTCCTTTATTTTATTTTTGCAATATTTACCAAAAGCTTGTTTCTACAAGGGGATATCATAATAAAGATTAGTGCGCTTTTAATTTTGTCTAACCCCTTTCAATGATATTAACCCATCTTACACGATTAAATTGAATTTTAACAAATACAACACATATGAAGTAGAATATCACCAAAATTAGAGTTAAAGTGTCAAGATAATTTATCTACTATTACTTTGTTGGGTGTTGCATTTTATATAAAACATAAACTACAATTTTTGTTCTCACAATTACATTTTTTAATAATATCCATTAAATCATTAAAAATATTAGAATTTAGAAGCATTATTAGAAATTCAATTAATTTAAAAGAAATATTTTTTTTACGTAATTCATATTTTATCTAGGTAGTGAGCAATAGCAGCTACGTAAGATAGCATCTATATTTATATAAATAATTTATTATCCAATTCCTTTTATGGTATAAAGCAATAGCATCCAAACGAAAAGTATTTAAGCAAAATTTTCATACCTAAGTTGGAGATATTACCTTACGAACTTGTTGAAATATTTACTTTCCACTATGTTGAACAGACGCTAGCTATTAACATTACCTTACCTTCGCACATTGTCTATTGTGAGTAGACCCAACTAGTAAGTGCCGAACTAATTGAGGAATTTTTTAAATTCCCATCCCTATGCCGCCTTCTGAAAAATTCTTCGATGGGACATGGATGTATGTCAAACTCGACCCCTTCACATCACATTCGTCATTCCTACACACTATACACATGAACGTGAGTCAATAAGATTGTATAAAAGGTCAATATAAACTCAAATGTTAAAGCGATTTAATATATTAAGAGAGAAGCAATTTAATATATTAAGAGAGATGGTTGTATATGTGGTTTATATAGAGTGAAATATAAGTTTACTGGATCAAAATGGTCATTCGCTCCAGCATTGGCCTTGTGACTTAAATTCACTGTTTGTTTGTCAGTGAAGCTGAATAGGTGTCATGTGGTACGGTCTTGTATGAGCTTGGAGTAGGGTTAGTTTAACTACTGACGTAACCTTATTATTCATATTGAATAAAAATCTCCGCTTCTCTCCTTGTGGATGTAGGCATATTGTCGAACCACGTTAAATATTTGTATTGATTTCTCTATTTTACTTCTTTATTATTTTGGGTTTAACAATCAACAAAGATATAAGAGGAGATCAGATTTTATTTTTGTATTTTACTTGCATGTGTTAAATCGCGTATGCACTTCATAGGAACTAGTGGAATTGTTATCTAAAGTTTCTTGATGTTCTATTTTTATAGTATAAGATAAAAACGTCATTGTGCTTTCAAGATACCTTTCATTAATCCAGAACAGCTCTAAAACTTATCGACCATTCACATATTAAAATGTAAAACAATGATGTCACAAACAAAATAAATAAATAAATCATAGACACAAGCAAATGTAGAAACAAATAGATAAAAACGCTGAATTTTTGATGCCCGACTGGTTCTAGACAGAAAACAAGACCATCAACCACGTAATTATATAATTTATATCTCTATTAATTTGTCAGACTTTCCCCGTCATATTCTGTGCAAGATGTAGTGTATTTGGTAAAAGTAATACAACCATTAATTTAATTATTTTTTAATCCATGTGGCCATTGAGTTTTGACTTTTTAATGCATAACGAAACTTTTAAATTATCAAATATTTACCCTCAACGTGCGAAATTCTACAATTAAAAACAATAAGTCACTTTTTAATTGATTAAGCATGTTAATTTATCCTAATTTTGAATACTGCAATTGATTATTAAAGTAGTAAAGGATACAAAAAAATCACGGAGAAGCCCAAACAGGATGAAAACGTAGACATTTTGTCAATTAGTAATCTACTATAAATCAAAACAAACTTACAGTACCATCCAAACCCATATACCATGTAGAACTTTTGACGTCAATTCCCGTAGTCTCCCTCGATCCTACTAGAGTTGTGCCCCCTTCTAAACAAATCCCGACTCTTGATTTATACCTTAACCCTCCTTTAAAACAAATCATCCTTTGACATTTTATGACAAAATCATATTTATTTCAAAGTCAATAAGTCCACAACTTCCCAAATATAAACTTTCCAAATTTTTTTTTTCAATATTTGGTGAACATGTTTCTTGAAACACATAAAAACCACAATACTATGTGAAAAACAAAAGAAAACTAACAAAATCAAAATCATATAACTAAATTAAATAAAACGTGTGTAACACGGAAACATGCAATATCATTTGAATTATAAATTTA